TGTCCACATTTCACTGCGCCTATAAATTGTGACATTGAAAGTTCACCTTTCTCCTTTTGACATGGTAGATATATGTTCCACCAATAAAAGACATGAAGGAAAAAGTCACAGGAAGACCATGTATGTTCCATTTGAAAGATGGCCCTACTCCAGTATACTGTACAGCAAACAGAAGGAGCTACTCAGAGCTACTCAGCTCTGCTGCTTCAGCACAAGCTAAGCCAGAGTCAGTGCATTGAAGACTGGATGTGGCTGTATCCTAATAAAACTTTATTCATATTTACCAAAATTTTAATCTCATATACCCTTCACATTTTAAACTATTATCATTTTGATTTTCTCATCATTTAAAAATGTAAAAACTGTGCTTGTTACAATCTATATGAGAACAGAGGAATGCTCACACTGGCTTGTAAGCCATGGTGGCCAACCCTGATTCAGGATTTGATTTTAAGAATTTAGTATTTGCTTGCTTAATTTCATTTTTAAACTTTTTTCACTGGATTTTCTAGAAACATGTAATTAAGGAACAGAGAATTCTTTGAGAGGAGACATTCTTCTGTTGGAGTTGCCATGCACGGCAGAGTATCCGTTCTTAACAAATGCAGCAAAGCATACTGTACGCCCTACTTGTGTAAATCAAGAGGAACTTGGTATTGCCTTGGAGTCTCCACTTTAAAAACACAAGATCATATTCACTACAGTTAGACATGTCATGGGAGTGGTGGGCTTCCAAACTATCCTTTAGTTGTTTCATTCCTGTGGGAAAACATACTTCCAAACATGGGCATCATATTACCAGATGCCCTCTAAATTTATCGACCCTCAACATTGCCATTCTCAAAATGCCCTAGTTTCCATTTCTTCTCTGTGTTATTCAGGGTGTCACCGGAAGCCCAGGAAGAACAGGACTGACTGGATCCCCAGGTCCTCGTGGAGGAAAGGGCTCATCCGGCCTACCAGGAAACCCTGGTGTTCCAGGACCAAAGGTACTTTCTTATCATGTATGTTAGGTAGGACAAGCCACCTGTTCTACCCTGCATATTCTGTCTAGATCATGGCTGAGCATGTTTTAATAAAATCTGGTTGATAGAAAAACCACATTAAGATAAAGAAAAGTATGTGGCCTACGCATGTCTATTTCACATGGTAGCCAACAGGCATGCTATCAGAGGATAACCCACTAACAAAGAACTAGTAGTGTTTCCAAAAGCTCCTTTTTTTCCCTTGTTTCTAGTTCTCCTTCTCTTCTCTGTCATCTGCCTTCTACAGTAGAGAAATGGAATTTACTTCTAGATGCAGACTTTCTGAAATACACTCTTATTCCTCTAAAGCTGAATATAACCATTCAATGAGCTGCAAATAGAACCACTCAACAAGCATTCAATAAACCTAATAGTGGAGCCAACCATCATTCAGATTGGTAAAACTGAAACGATACTCATGGTAAAACCATGGTCTGACCCTCAGGTAACTGCTCTCTTTCTGGTGCCATCATCTCTGGAAGACAGGGACAACAGAGCAAAATGATCACTTACCCACAGAACACCTTCTACCTCACATAATACTTCCTACACACTACGATGTCAACCCTTCCTTCTTCTTTCCACACATGTACTACCCCAGTCCCTGGAATTTTCTTTTCTTATATCCATACTTTTTGTTTATTATAATAAAAGTTTGCTTGTGGGAAAAGGTGGAAACAATGAAGCTGATGTATTAACATCCCCAATGCCTTATACTCTTCTGAAAGTGGATATTTGTATTTCACTAATATATTTATAGGTTCTGAGGTTTAAAAAAAAAATCACCTGTCTTTGTTTGGTCTGTAGGGTGAACAAGGGCTATCTGGTCAACCTGGAATTCCAGGTAAAAGAGGTCAACGAGGATCACAAGGTGACCAAGGACTACATGGAGAGCCTGGTCTGAAAGGGCAGCCTGTATGTGTCAACTCTGAAATCATCAAGCACTGATTTCACAGATCAGGCCACCACTGTTCAGTAACAATTCTCCTGTCTGTTTGCCTTGCAGGGAGAACATGGTGATCAAGGTTTGAGAGGTTTCCAGGGATTCCCAGGCCCCAGAGTATGTGTGTATATGTTCTGATAATCTTATGTTTATCTAGGGAAAAAAGAGAAGTGTTGAAATCATCAACATGTAGTCTATGACCCGAACTTTTCTTTAATCTTGAAAATCTTTATTGGTATACCTATGTGTTTGAGTTTCGCAAATGCTAATTCCAAAACCTCTATAATTGCTGAACTTAGTGAGGCAGGAAGATTACAGTTCAAGGCAAGCCTGGGATATATGAGACCTTATATGAAAAAAATAAATAAAACTCAAAATAAGCACTTGCCACACAAGTCTTGGGTTCTGATACCCAGAATCTACATCAAAGCTAGTCAAGTATCTCAGTCTTTTTCAGTCCCAGCACCCACTGTGAGAAGATGGCAGGCAGGGAGAAGGGAATTTCGTGCTGGCCAGCTAGCATGGCTAATGTAGCAAGAGACCTTGTGACAAACACAGTGTAAGATGACGGCAATGATGCCTGTCCTCTAACCCTCCAACTCCCCACAATGCTCTCTTTGCCATCTATCTATCTATCTATCTATCTATCTATCTATCTATCTATCT